TATTATTATTATTATTATTATTATTATTATTATTATTATTATTATTATTATTATTATTATTATTATTATTATTATTATTATTATTATTATTATTATTATTATTATTATTATTATTATTATTATTATTATTATTATTATTATTATTATTATTATTATTATTATTATTATTATTATTATTATTATTATTATTATTAAAATAAAGGTTAGTTATTTTAAAAATCTTATAAAAATAAGTTGAAAATCACAAAACTTATATTAATAGTTAAATTTAAATAAGTCAATGCAAATAAAAATTTAAACTCATTGATATATGAATTTGTTAATCTATTTAAATTTCAGTTTAATTTTTTATTTACAAATGTTAAAATAAAACATGATTTTATATAAATTAATAGGCCAACCACTTTTGAAAATACTAGACTCAGACCTAAAAATAAACCACCTAAAAATAAACCACTTAACAAAATATAACTCGACTCAACCTATTTCCCACCTATTTTCACCCCTAGGAGTGAGTATATATTATATTATTGAAAAAACCAAAGTGCCAAATAGAGAGGAGATATATTATTGAAAAAACCTAAGAGCCAAATAGAGAGGAGATATATTATTGAAAAAAAAAAAAAAACTTAAATTTCCTATAGGTAAAAAATTAAAACTCTTGACCAAAAATAATTTAATTAAAATTTATAAACGGTGACACTTCTCATTTTATGAATTCATTCGTTTTGTACGCTTGAATTTTAAACCTAAAGTTGCCTTATCTAGAGTTAGTAATTGAAAGTGTTTGTGCTTGTGATTCTTTGATGTTAATTGTGTTGTGCTTGTGATCAAAGGTAGGGATTATTTGGAGTAATTCAGATTATTAACTTGAATAAACACCGGCGGTGGCCATTTGAATCCTCAGAGTAACATTTATACAAATTTTCTATAAACAAGTTAACAGTAATTACATATAAACAGTTTTTTTGAAGATTGAACAAGCATCAGATATTTCCACATGATGCATTAACAACATTAATGTTCAATTCTATACAGATATTCACAGAGAATTTCGGCATATATATAGGATGAGGAACAGAGAGATGACACTGCTATCAGTTAAAATTTTCAGGACCTGCAGCAAAATAAAAGTTGTCAACATATGCTTTAGAATTCAAACATTAGTGCATCATTCGGTGTAAATTTGTAATATAAAACTAGTTTCATACCTTTTCTTTATGTTTTTACCAGCCCTGTGTTGATTAAGTTTGTCCCTCCACAATGCTGGAGTTGCATCAGAAACATGAGATGTGAAAGTAACAAGATCAAAGAAGTACAATTTATATAGTAATCCGCAAAAGGAATGTGGAGCTTGAATTTAAAATGGCGGATTTTATTCAAATTATTCTCATAAAAAGACAATCTAATGTTAGAGAGTAACATGATATGATCCTCGTACAACATACATTGAAAACACAGATTCAATAAATGACTGAAATAATCAGAAGACAATAATTACCGGCATCATCGTAGCGCTCTTCAACAACAGCTTTCATCATGTTGTTCAAAAGATTGAATTCGTCGGTTTCAGCACAAGGCTGACCATTTGGCCTGCAATGTCATTTTTAGTTAAGAGATGTCTATCAACAATGCAAAGGACTAATATAACAGATAAGTCAAATTGCATTAGAACTACAAGGTATTTTACAAACATACTTATCCATTTCAGTTAGTAACCGGCCATCAAAACTAGGTATCTGTATTGACAGTTTGCCTGATTCAATTACTTTCATTCCATCACTGTACACCAAGCCCTTGTTGACTTGTATTGGCACCTACATCATTAGTAAAATAGTGAAATACTTACAACAACAACCAAGTGTAAATAAGTATTTTGCATTCGGCGAATTCAATGCAATGATGTATCCATTGGATTTAAACTTGCTCCAATAATGAATCTAACGGAAGAAGAATAATGCCAGGAAAAAACAAACTCTACCATCACTAGACTTTTCTAACATCAAGCTGAGCAAAAATGATTAAATGTCAAGCAAAGTCGTCGGAAAATGTAATATACTTCAAGTGATGATGTAGTTGGATGTATGAGCTTACAAAGATTAATCTACCTTGCATCTAACTGCGATATTGATAGCATCTGAAGGTCGAAGATCAAAACTTTTACATTCTGCCTCATTTCCAACCTATACCAAATAAATACACTGTCATACAGCACTTGAGGTGAATGTTGCGTGTTTTTATCATTTTTGAGGGATGGGGGGAAGAATGAGTACAGAGTAAATACCTTAGTAAGATACAACTGTGCAAAATATGCCTCATCGACTCTCCTAGTCACCCTGACAAGTCTAACCTGTAGAAGCAGGAAATGGCATGAGTTCATTGTATATAACCATGGAAATTTGATGGAAAAACCACAATAAAATCGGGTTTTAGGAGTAAGAGCATGAAAAGAAACAGAATCATACTTGGTAACCCATTTTGTCAATCATCTCCATTACTGCTTGGTATAAAGTAGGCCTAGCCTGATACAGCAACCAATTAGTTAGAAACTTAGAATTCATGTGGCTATATTACAACAACCAGAATCTTTCTGGATCGAACAATTGATTTATTCTACATCTTTGGAAGAACAGGGAAAATAAGTCTCAAGTCTTGAGTTACATGTGACAGTAACATAATGAAACTCAACTAACAAAGAAGGCATACAATTGGAACATTGCGAATTGCCGCCATTAGTAAGACACTTGGCATCTCCACTGCAAATAAAAATATTGCAGAAATTTAAAACTGTGAAAATTCAAGAAAATAACTTATACGATTATAGGGTTGAGAAGGACATACAAACAATTATAGGGAGAAGTAGACCAGTCCCATCTTCCATCTTCAAAACAATAGCGGGGTGTGGTGAATAATCTGGAAGATGACTCCCCTGAGGATTGTTGTGAGCACATCTCAAGTGTCTTCCATTCCTCATTTTGATTATGAAACCATCTGCGCCACTTTTCACCTCAACTAGAGAACACAATCACAAAACAATCAAGTCTTGCACTAGAATTACACACATTTAGTTAGCCAAAGTTCGACATGACCATTCAACTAAAAACATATTTGTATCAAATACACATAACTCAAAAAAGATATTGTTGGCGAGTCTGGGGAGCGTCAGGAGTGTCAACGGGCTAAACGTTCATATCCAAGAGACCTTGACACCACATATCCATCCAAAACACCTTAAGGCGATGGGTGTATGGGTCATTTCTCTTATATACCCAAGATCTCCTCCAACTCTACCACTCACACTTGAATCCCAACAGAGCCTCACGCTAAAGAACACACTAAATTGCAATATCGATCACACTTACATTTAGTTTTATTTCTATTAACACTTGTAGTAGCTAAACATACCAGCTTCAATCACACTTGAATTAACATAATCTTTATCATTTTCATCGAAACTATCTGACATGCTTCCGCCACCATTCGACGATGAATCTAAACTACAACACACTTTAGTCTCGCTCTTCCGTATTTTTACTTGACATGAAAGAAACCCCCTCTTAAGTTCCTTGAGTCCCCAAAACTCAGTTCTAACACATCTTACATTCATTGGCCCAATCAGAGAAAGGCTGCAAAACCCTCCAACTTTAGGATGAACAGAGGGACACACAACTGGTCCTTGCAGAGAACCCATACTCAAAACCTACACACACCAAAAAAAAACAAAAAAAACTCTTAAGAATTTTTCAATGACACTTATATCATCAAAAAGTAAGTCAAACAAAAAATCAGATTAAGATTTCAAAAAAACAAGTTTTTTCTCAAACCCTAATTAAATTTCATCAAGATAAATCAATGAAGTGTGATACAAAACTTGATTACAATATCATGATGCAAGATAGAGTTGCTAAACTCATAGATTATAAAAAATAAAATAAAAAAACCTTTTGGTGCTAAATTAGTATAATCCAAATTTATGAACAAAGATAAGAAAATATAAACGATTGAAACATAATTAGGAAAAGTTTAATTAATGGTTAAATAGATTAATTAAGAGGTAAAAAACAGAAAAATTAATAGCAAAGATTGTTTTTTGTTGATACCTTATTTATTTGGGATTATTAGAGTTGTGATTATGAAGAAGGGAGGAAAGTGTTAGGGTGAGGTGAAAGATGATGGGGAAGAAGATAAGAGATTATTTTAGAGAAATGGGAAAATGTCAAAGTGAAGAAATGAAAAAACCGAAAAGGAAAGAAAAAGAAAGAGTGAGATGAACACGTAACCGGATTCACCGCAGGTGAAGAGCCTTAGTGCTGATGACGTTAATTGTGAGTTGTAGGATGATGATTTGCCTTTTGTTTTTCTTAGATTATTAAATTGAAAATAAGACAACAAAGAAAACAACTTTATCCATAAACACAAAAACAACTTTAACACAATCGATGCTTAACTACTCTTGTTTTATATATATATATATATATATATATATATATATATATATATATATATATATATATATATATATATATATATATATATATATATGAAATCATTATATTTGACAAAAATATATGTGTTCGTATGTGTATATTTGAAGTCATTTTATTTTATCAAAAAAATATGACTTTGGATGTGTATTTTCGAATTTATCCCATAATTAATGATTTTAGAGATACACATCCGAAATTATTTTGTTGATACATATTTTCATTCAAACACAAAACGTTCACTTTTTTACACCAAAACTCTTAATTTCTATTATCTAAACTTGAAGAACTAATTCATTTATACTCATCTTCTCATTTAAGCTCTTTTCAAAGCATTCCAATTAATCCCCAAAGCTCCAAGTTTGTGTAAGCTTTCTTCATTTTCATTTGATTTACTATGCAATGTTATAATAGTTTATTATGTTAGTTAGAATCAATGACATTATGTAGATTGCTGTTAGAATAGTTAAATTTTGATATTTGGGTGACATAAAAATGGTATTTGAGTGATTTAAGACAAGAAGAAGTTGTTTCTTGATAATGGATGTCCGCAGGTAGTTTCGGAAGTGCACATCCGAAATCCCCCTGGACCAGTTTCGGATATGCACATCTGAATTCTTGCCTGAGTTGATTTTTTTTTAAACTATCATATTAACTGATCTGGACTGGGTCGGCGCTTGCCCCACCGTTGGGGAGGCCCAATCCAACACCTTTGCACAAGGCCCAAAAGCGAACAGCTCAAGTTGGGCACCATTGAGCAACTCCCCATGTATCTATTAGGGAACGTGGCCTACGCGCTCTTATCGTCACCACCTTCCTGCCCTCCGAGAATACCGGGTCCAGCTCCTGCTTTCTCGGGGCAGCCAACTAGGAGGGAGGCCATGTGCTGGCCTTCAGACACACATAAGCGCACTACTACGAAAATGGGCTTTCACAACGCTTTTTTTTTCCCTTTAAAAGCGCTTAAAAGCGCTGCCGTAGCCAGCGCTGCCGTAGGCTACGAAAGCGCTTTTTTCTGGCCAAAAGCGCTGTCGTAGGTGGACCTATCCCAGCGCTTTTTCCTTAAAAAGCGCTTTGATAGGGGGGTCTTTCCCAGCGCTTTTTGAAAAGCGCTTTGATAGGTGTGCTATTTAAATTTTTTTTTTTTATTTATCAGGCCTTTTACAGCGCTTTTTCCTTAAAAAGCGCTTTGATAGGGGGGTCTTTCCCAGCGCTTTTTGAAAAGCGCTTTGATAGGTGTGCTATTTAAATTTTTATTTTATTTATCAGGCCTTTTACAGCGCTTTTTATGGAAAAAGCGCTTTGATAGGGGGGTCTTTCCCAGCGCTTTTTCCATAAAAAGCGCTTTGATAGGGGTTCTATTTAATTTTTGTTTTTTTATTTATCATGGCTTTTACAGCGCTTTTTATGGAAAAAGCGCTTTGATAGGGGGGTCTTTCACAGCGCTTTTTCCATAAAAAGCGCTTTGATAGGGGGTTTCTATTTAATTTTTTTTTATTTATGCTGCCTACGAAAGCGCTTTTTAGCCAAAAGCGCTTTCGTAGCTCATACAAATTTTTTAAAGTGAAACCTATAATTTGAGGTTCCCTGTGCGGCCTGTAATTTTTTTTTGGTCCAATAATTTAACCTGTAATTCAATCCTTATCTATACATATATTTTAAGAAATCGGTATTATATTAACAGAAACCGGTATACCATATAATATTCAATCCTTATCTATATATATGTAACTAAATCATATATAACTAAATTTGTAACCATATATACATTTGTAACCATAACTAAATCACATACAAAGTATCGTGTTAATTTGTAACCATATATATATACATATGTAACTAAATCATATATAATTACATCGAAAATAATGCTCCACCGACACGGTCGTCATCCTGCAAAGTATGAATATGAACAACACGGTAAATTAAACAAACAATATTAAAGGCTCCAACACAATCAAACTAACACGTACAATAATATTTTATTCATACCCATCAGAATAATCTGTTTTCAACATAAAATTGACATATTTCCTCTTTGACTTCTTCCACTTGAACTTTCGTGTACGACATAGTATAGAGGTCATCAAAGTACTACATAAGAAATTATTACTTCAGTATATGCATGATGTTATTAAATGTAGAAATCATACAAAATTATTCTAAGTTATAAATCCATACCGTGCTTGGAATCTCTACTTGATTTTTATGAAGGATTTCTTTCATAAACCTCAAGCAAAAGTATCCGCAATCTACATCGTTATTCTGTAACGGACACTGCATAGAAAAACAGAATATATTTTATAGTTGTCGTGTAATTTTATCAAGTAACATAACTATTATTATAAGCAACTAATTTTGTACCTGCACTTTGATCCAAGTAATATTTGATGATTTACTCCGGGGTACCTGTGCGTCCCTTTGACTACGAATTATTTGTATTGATCTAAGAAAATAAAAACATATATTTAGATCAATCTCACAGAAATAATTAAATATATAAATATACACGAATAGTTAGAACGATCTCACTTACTGATCAACAGTTTCCTTCATAGCGGGATAGTTAGTCCATTCCCCGTCTACCGAATTCAGAAAGTACACAACTTCTTTAATCGGATCGATAGCCAACAACAACCAGTGTTTTCTAAAAATTTAAGCAACAGTTTAGAAGAAAAGTTTCTACGCAAAATAAACAAAGATATATTAGAATAAATGAAAAACTCACCCCACTGGAACAGTGTTATACGGCAAAATAAACAAGCTATCTGGGTTGCCGACGTAGGCCGTGTATCGATTCACTAAGTACTCCCTAACTGAACCCGGTTCCCTGACAATTGTCGCTCCGCTGACAATATGGGCAGACAAGAAATGGAAGCGTCTTGCCAATACAGTCTCGCGCATTTTTTTATCGTACAACAACCTTAAATAAAAACATATAAACATTAGACTATTTTCATTGAAATGTGTAAATAAATTGTTCAACTAATTAAATGATATATTTATCGGAATACCGGATGTATGCGTGAACATTGCCGATGCCTAATTCACCATGCGTCATAATCTCAGTCATTTCGTCCATTCCTATCGTTTCCTCGCAGTTAAGACCAAAGATATCTGCATCCATAAGGATTCGACGAATACCACCTGACTTCAAATCTGAGGTTTCCAAAAGTACTCCAAGTGTATTCCGATATCGAGGTACAAAAATGCCTCTTCCCCCGCCTCTTCCCCCCTTATGCATTGACTTTTTTGGGGGTGGTCTGCTACGAACAGGCTGGGTCACTTGTTGTGACACTTACGCAGATACCTAACAATCATATAACTTAGGTAAATTATAAAATCGTTCAGTTTTAAATTCATATCATATAATAAACAATTTAAGTGTACCTCTGGAATTGATGCCATAGACTCGCCGCCTTGCTGCAAAATCTCCTTACCCTTATTAGCGGGTTTTGTAGGAGGCTAATATTAAAAAATAATTAACTTAACGGTTCAGAATTGACATTTGAAATCTAAATGATTCATATTAACGGTTCTAAACATACCTCATCATCAATGAAAATGAGGTCCAAGGGCCATGCAACAAACGACCCTATTGCGTCTCGCACCGATCTTATATCCAAGGCCACGTCAGGTACCGGTACCAACGCATCGGGATCAATAGGATAATCTACTGATACTCTCAGGTGTCCAGCCGGGATCGGTGTATTATGAATTAAATCTCCCAAAGTGTTGTACACTTTTCCCTTGCCAACAAGGTGATAATCTGATGCCATTACGTATAGTTGGCAAGATGAAATGCCCTAAACCAATATGCATACATATTACTTTTAATTCAATAATAGAAAGAGGTGGAATAAAAATGAGAAACTTGAACAATAGAGATTTATCAATATATTTATAATTACCTCAGGAAATTTATTCTGACGGTTGATACTAGCGTTGTCACTAGTTTCTTTCGCCATTGCCGCATTGCCCTTTTCCCTCATTAATACCTCTTTATCTCTTTCCAATGCATTGACTTTTGCTTGTAATTCCATAAGTACATTCATCACTTCTGCATTGGTAGGATTTCTTTTCCGATGATGCTGGTAGAAAGAGGTTGGAGTCACACCATGACCTTTACCCCTCACCCGACCGGAATACTCAGGAACATTCAGTGCTTTACTAAGTACGCTCCTCGTATCCTGGTCATCACCGGTGG